CCTCCTGTGAGATGGGACTGTGGTACCCTCATAATAATATAGACTCCCAGTCCCAGGAGGGATGATTGGAATGGACGGTGCTGGATCAGGTGCTCACCCACTGTTGAAGCTCAGGGCTCAGGAATCATTGCGGAGGGGGAGGTGGAAAGATTGTAAGAGCCAGAAGTGGTGGAAGACTGTGGGGGGGGTGTTGCAGAATTCTTCAGACAGCTGGTCCTCACAGCAATGGTGACAGCATGAGCAAGTCCTATGCAAGCTCCAGTGGATCAACCCACACTGGAGAACATTTGGGGATTCAAGTTAAACTCTATAAACCTTACTATACAGGGAGAGTACATTGAATTGAGTGGGGGGAGGGGCATGTGGGGAGGTGTGGATGGGAGAGGGGAATATAAATGTCATCAAATTATATTGTACGGAAATCGCAAAAATTCAATAAAAATACAAAAATAAAATAGGGCTTCTATTGTACACACGTTTAAAAAGTTAGGTGGATTTTGAATGGTTTCACTATAAGCAAATGACAATTGTTTGGGGTTATAAATGTGTTTGCCTTAATTGGACATTTTACAATGTATTCCATATATTGAAGCATTATATGATACTTCAAAAATGGTTTGGGGGAGAGAAATTTAAATCAAAGAGGTGAAGCAAGTCAAAATTGGTTACTAGGGGGAGCTGCTCCTTGCAAGTCCCCAGCTGTTGAGCTTGAACCTTCCACCTGTCGGTTGACATCCCTTTTGTTTCTTCTTTTTTCAGACTCGTCTCCTTCTTTTCTTCACTTCCTTCTATGGTACAAAATCTGCCATTTCCCATTTAATGTATTTTAAAATTTTTATTTACTTATTTTTATGCATGTGTAGTGTGTTGATATATGGGTACATGTGTAGGTGTGGCATCTAGAGGAAAACCTAGGGTGTCGTCGTCGGAAACACCATCTACTTCCTTTGAGACAGGATCTCTTGTTAGTCTAAAGCTCATGATGTAGGTTAGGCTGTCTGGCCTCAGTGATCCTCTGTCTATGCCTCCTCAGTACTGGGATTATAAACCATGCCTGGGATTGAACTGAGGTCCTCATGCTTTTGAGGCAAACATTTTACTGCCAAACATTTTTCTTAGGCCCTAATTTTATTTTTAATGCAGAGTAGTTAACTATCACCAGATCTAACAGCCAAATGAAGTTGGGGGTCTCCACTTCCATGTATAAGTAGTCTAGTTAGAAATAACCCT